ATTGTTTAAGTTTACTAACTTGCAAAACTGCGTACAAAGGCTATACAGTTCAATGAGTGGGAAGTGCTTTATATACAAGCTTTGATTCTCAAAATACCTGTAGTCCATCTAAATGGCAAGTAATCCATAGGAGGGATTTTCCTCTTGAACTCAAGCCAAAACAAACAAAAGGCACCTTTTGTGAAGAAAACTGTGAGGCTATTGACCATTGTTCTGTTGTAGGTACAAGAACAAGCTCATTAATGTCCATTTCATTTGTGTAGCTACAATGGTGTTCTCACTGTGCTCAGTAAAAAGAAAAAAAATCCAACAATAAATGAATGACATTTTCTCGATTTATTCAACAATAAATATTATTACTATATTTCCAGCGGTTAGTGCAGAAGTAATTAGATGAGTTTTCACAGTCAACAGCAGCCATTTGTGCTCTGTGACAACAAAACCAGTAAAAACAGAAGGTTTTGACTTTGGAAAAATAGCATAGAAACAAAAGGAATATTCATTTCTTGGACATTTCAGCTCCAGGGTATCAGCACACATACAGTCAGGAAATCGGAAGTTATTATTAAGAAACATACACTCCAATCTCTGATAAAAGATACAGTAGTGATTAAAATGTTTTTCTTTACCTCAGATCCAGCAGTGCTTCATATATTAATATGTTATTAACAGCACTAATTTCGCCTTGTGAGACAGATGAAATGTTATAGCCACACACACTCAGAATGAGTATGTAATCGCAAACTATATTTTAGGCTCAAACGTACCAAAAAAGCTCTCCATAAATTCCAGTAGTACATGGAAACAGAAAGAAAAAGTTAATTATCTGTGTGAAACAGAAAAGAGAAGTATGCCATTAAAGTCTATATATAACATAACAAACTGCTGTACTCTAGCTGCACTCGATTTATAAAAGCCAGAGGCGTGTGATTTAACATTTTTTTATGCAGGCAAGTTCTATAAAGTATCTATAAAGTAATATTTATAGAGATGGTTGAGCCCATGCGATGGTATAATATTAACAAAGGTTACAAAAACAGGCAGGCAACATTTCTTCCTTTCAAGTAAATGGATGTTTGAGACAAGCTTTCCCAGTTTTTATTAGACCAACAAGGCATAACCTTTAACTTTCTCAGTACTGCATATTAAATAGTGAAATGACGATGACTGAAAATGTGCAAATCAAAACTGTGTTTTCAGATCTGATTACATTTTTCTTGTGCTTGAATGGATTCATACTGTGCACTCAGTTCATTAGCGTTCTTATGTAAAAATGATCCACCTATAAATTGATAATACAAACATATAAAACAATATCACATATTGTTGGTACTAGAGGTGTCAGGATAGATGTTATGTTATTCATAATAACAGTGATATTTAAAACTGAAATTATGATAATTTTGTAGTTGTTATTACTTTCATGTCTGTACAGCTATTCCTACAGACTTTCTTTTTGTTGATTTTTTTTATAGATTTTGTAATAATATCAGTGAATTATTTTGACCATGAAAATCGTTTGAGGTAAAAATCGTACATTGTGACAATCCTAACTGGTACCTGGGTATGTCTGTATTCGATACATCATATACTAAAATGTAAACTGGAAACATTTGGGATATTTCTTAGCGATCAGGCACTCTTTCAGCCAAAGATGAAAGGTTAAGCTGAGATTTAAATGTTTAAAATGTGACTCAAATCATCATTAATTAAAATTCTAAGCTAATAAATTAGCTCCCAGTGTCCACATGGTGGAAATCATTTGTACACTATTCCGTTTTTCACTTTGATGCAAATCAAGCAAATCAAGTTAATTTTTTTTTTTAAAAAAAGGACCTTACTTGTGGAACAAACACAAGATGGCATTAATAAAAATGAACAAAAGAGCCAATGGTCATAGTCACTGTGGTATGGAAGGATAGATCTTAATGTTTTCCCACAGAGCTAATATACTGCATAAATAATAAAAATATTCCGCATATACATTCAAGATGCTGGAGTTTTTTTCAGCACTTTCACTCTTATCTCACCGAGTCTTTGACCTGTGACCTTGGCAGCGTTAGGGTAACATCAGCTGAGTTAGACCGCAGTCCACTAGTCCAGCTGACGTTTTGTCACCTTCCATAAAAACGACTGACTCTGCTACTGTGTGGGTTTACATAGTCATGCCCCTTTGCTGGGGGCATCCACCTTGTCTTTCTCTTTAGTGTATTCGGCATCATCGTCTTTATGAGGGAACATCCACGCCAGCGCAGCACCAGCTGTGCCGTCACCGGTCTGACGTGAGAAGCACAAGAAAGTGGCCCAGATGAAGGCACAGCAGCCAGTGAAGGTGGTCCGCACATACAGAGGCACCAAGGCAAAGTTCAGAAACTGAGAGAAATTGAGATAACAGCATATCGTCATCACTATTATGTCATAAATGTCTACTGATTGCTATTTAACACAGTGGTATGGATAGCAACTGGAGGGTAAAAGGTGTGGACAATGACCCAATACAGTACGTAAGAAACACAGAAAAACACTTCCCCAGATACGTATTTAGCCTTTATTTTTTTTTAGCCTTTATTGGATAGAGAGGGTGTAGATAGACAGTAAAGCGGGGAGAGAGAGAGGGGAAGACATGCAGCTAAGGGCTAAGGGTTTGATTCAAACCCGGTCCTACTGCTCTCTGGTCATACGGCATATCGTCGCTTGCTCACCCACTGAGCCACCGCTGTTTTTGAAGGTGAGATTGATTTTTGTGATACTACAGGATATTTTATTTCTGTTTTTACTTCATAGTTTCATAGTAATAAACTATCATTTTACAATCCTGTGTTTTGATTCATGTTTCTGCTAATGCAGTACAATGAACTGTAACTTTATTGTGGTATTTGACTTAGGTTTCTTCTCTGGTTTTCATGGAGTTTTTTGGATGCCCATTTAGCTGGGTTTCTGTTTAAGTTTCAGTTTCTACTTTGAGTTTATTACTTGTACTAAGTGTCAGTGATTCCCCTCTCAGTTCTCTCCTTTGCCTCATCCTTTAATGCTAATGCATTTGTCCTCCAAGTTCCCTCGTCTCTGTCTTCGTGTTTAGTGTGAGCCTTCATTTCTCCACATTTACCATTTTGTCTTTTGGTTATTTCTTGAGCTTGGTTTTTCTTCATGTGTTACTTCCTACCTTGGCATTGTCCTTATTTTTTGTTATGTCTAAACCTGAACCTTCATGTGCCGCTTGCTCTGATGATCTCACTGTATGGACTTTGATTTCTGATGGTATCTGTTTTTGGTCTTTGCTTGATGAAAATAATTCAAATGTAGCAAAGCAGATCATTGAATCAGAGTCAGAATACTGTTTCCCAGAGAAAAATATGTGGTCACAGTTGCTCCAAGACAGTAACAAAAGTTACTAACTAAATTAACATAAATAATGCAATACATTACAAAGTTACAACAAAAATAGCTGTAATACATACAAATAGCTCTAATTATAAATAACTAGTACATTACACAAAATTAAATGCTTTTGGTTGACATTGAGCTGTCCCTCTTATTATATTGTACTTACTCAGAATATGTAACATTTTAAATAAATGATGCTCAGGTCACTTTGTTTAGCCACTAAAAAATGTGTTGTTTTTATATATACCCTTCATCCCTGAACTTTATTGCACAATTACTCTACATAGCTTCACCCAATTATATTAATGGACATAAGCTGATAATGATGATGCTGATATTTACCTGCATGAATGGCCAGAACATTAGCCCTGTCTGAGAAGAGAGATACAAACAAAGCACAAAATAAGAACTAGAAAACATAATCAGAAGAGCACCTAAAAAACGGTTTGTACCAATAAAACTGCAGATGTTTGGGATTTGAGCACTCAACACATTGGACTCTTCTGCTTTGAAACAGGTACTGTTAACTGTCACGACTTTAGAAAATAACAGCCTGTGTCTGTGACTCACCTTATAAGTATTCAGGAATTTTTCTCTCCAGTCTTCCAAGATGTCTTCTTTGCCCTCCAAGAAACTGACACCTGGAGGCACATGAGATTTGACTGATTTATAGGCAGTGCAGGAAGATCAATGCAGTTTGTACAGTATAAACATATTAAATAATCATGTCATGTTTTTTGAAGATCTTGATAAACATATAGCCACATTTGAAACAAAAATTAGTACAATAACCCAGTGTACACTGTTTTCCACTATCATTATGGAGTTTATGAAGCTTATGTGTAAGTTCAATGAGGATCTGTAATCACTTATCTGCCTGCCTCCGTGAGTGTTCAGCTGCTTTTCTGTTTTCTACACGGCTACCGCTTCCCTGTACCGTCAATCTCAATACTG